TTCATTCTTCCCAGAAACAGTATTACTTTTCACCCCAGGCTCCATGAGTTCAGGTTAAGGTTTAATTCTACCTGGTAGAACTTGGTCTTATAGGGAAACATTTTATTTTTTGTATTTCAAAATGAGCCAGCCACAAGGTGACATCAACAGAACTTCTAAGTCTTCAGCATTGTTTTCACACCATGTGAAATGCTGCATTCATTTTCAATATCAATATTGTGAAGATTGGCCAGATTCATAACATAAGTGTGGAAAATTCCTTCGGGAGGTGGACTGACCTTTTGTTTTTCATTTTAGTTATTATGGCTTTAAGGCAGCACTGATGCCATGATTTGACTTAATCAATGAGTATTATTTCTTTCACATATAATTAACACAGGCCACCGTATTTTCCTATCTGCTTTTCTAGGCTGACATGAAATGTAATATAGACTGGTCAAAGGGAAAGTTTCATTCACATTTAATAGTCTTAAAAGCATGTCAATGTCTACTTGTGTGAAAAATGAGCAAAGCTGTATCTTGTTTTAAAAATCAGAATGACTAAACTTAGTGCTTCATTCCAGCCTTTGCCCTTGTGCATGCTGGGGATTCAGTGGTTACAAAAAAAAGCCAGCTTACCCAAGAGGCTGCAGTTAATCAGGGAATGTCATGCCATACTTGGGTTACTAAAGAACAGTCCGAGGGGACAGAGGCTATGGAGCCCAAGGAGAAGAAATGTGAGTCCAAGTGTAATGCTGGGAAATCCTGGATCTCAGTGTGAGAAAAAGAAAGGAACACTAGCCAGTACCATGATTTTTCATCCATTTATCTATCACTTAAGAAGTTTCTTGACCTTTCTGGGTTCTACCTTCCTCTGATCACCTTCCCAAATTTATTACTGTCAGATCACCCAATCATACCTGAGAGGAACAGTGAGACGAGTTCTCCCAACTTTCGACCCTATCAAGAATTTAGAGAAAAGGTAAATAACATAGCTCTGAGATTATAATCATCACAGAAAAGCTTAGGGTAGAGATATGCAAATTAACCCCTAAAGGGATAGGGCAGTAACTAAGCCAGCAAGTCAAGGTGAGCAATGCAAAGAGAACTTAGAAGAGGCAATAACAATCACATAGCCTTCTCAGCTGCATGAATTTCAGGTTACAGGGTTGATGGCTCACAGACACACCAGGCTCTGAGGCCACTGAATGCCTAAATATTGTGGCTCAGGTTCCAATCTCATCAAAGCTTCTTATGAAGCTAGACGTTGACATTGAAAAGAAATAACATGTTTCTTGGGCTGGTTATTATTCATATGCTTGTCAGTTCTATTTCTTTTCTTTTCTTTTTCTTTTTTTTTTTTAAGCTGAGCCATCCTGCCACTGGTTGGCAGCTCAGCGGCTGCTCAGCTTGGGCCGGGAATAGAACCGCTGTTGCTCAGAGCTCAAACTCTTGAACGAGCCCTTAACCAACTGAGCCACTCGGCCGGCCCTCAGTTCTATTGCTTATTGTTAAAAAACAAGTTGGCATTCTAGGTTATACATCTAGTTTATGTCCCTTCATAACTCAACGTTCCTAAGAAGGGTCTGCTCTGGCAGATTAAGGGTAAAGAGCCTCCGAATACACAGAGCTGCTGGCTTGATCCAGGAACAAACCGTTTGGGACCCATCTGGGTGCCCCAAATGCCACCCTGGGGCATACTTTTCCTTTAAAATACCTGTAGAATAAGTCTTTCTACAGATTGCCACTCTGCTCTGTGGACAAAGAAGGAGCTCTAATAAATCTGAAAGAAAGTAACCTTACAGGGTAATGGGTCATACATTCCTAACTGGCCAGGTCACGGTGGGTAGTTACGCCCCAGGCCTACAATAAGGTTTATCTTTGCCCTAAGCCAGCCTTGATCACTGTTCTTGTATGTCTAGGCTAACACACTTTTGAAATGTTAGACTGGTCCTCTTTTTCACACCCCACAGAGGCGTAACCACCCTTAAGAGAGCACATACTCGTGTTAACTATCCCGTACTTTGCTTTCTCCCACCTTCATGTAATCTTCCTGACACTCCCTCCTTTAAATCCAAATGTATAAAAAGAAACTGCAAAACTGTCGTTCTCAGGAGCATTTGAGACCTTGCTTCCCAGCTTGTCATCAGTTTGGCTCAAATAAACTCTTACACAAATTTTTTAAAGGTTTGGACGTCTCTTATGCCAACAGCTCAAAATGCCAAGATGGACCCCTACTTCTTATTAACTCAAGTTGAAAAACCTGGATCTGGCTTTCAGCCTGGAAAATATCTCCCCGTACTCCTGATGTGCTCAGGTTCCCACTGTGTTTATCCTACTCTTCCATCAAACTCGGCCGAAACACCTTTACTCACGCCTTCCTTTTTTTCACCAGTTCATCAAAACACCTCCCCATTCCCCAAAGTCCAATTCATGTTCCACTTGTTCCAAGAAACCTTGCCTATGATCCCAGCACTGGTTTCTCCTTTCACTAGGTTCCAGAAACAGGTATGGTCAGGACCATGTAACTTCACTTAATTATACTCCACTCTTGTACTAATGCTTGAATTGCTCTATATGTGTTATTGCTGCCTACCCCACTTGTAATAATTTCTCTGGAAAAGGTAAAAGTACAACCAAACAAACAACTGGTAAACCCCATTGAGCATAATGTACCTTTTAAGAACCCTTTGATGGTCCCCATAATACCTAGGCACAGAGGTAAGCAGTAATAAATATTGTCAACGAATAGGTTTTAAAAAGTTGTAAACACAAAAGCACAATTGGCTCTAAAAAACCGTATGTTCATTTAACACATTTTTATTCCTTTTATACTCTAGGCAAGAAGCTATAGTTTCTCCCAATAAATTAATGCTAAAGGAGCCTCTTCAGATTTAGATTTCTTAGCCCCATTTCTGAAACCGTTTACTTAAAAGTATCTTTAATTGTCCTATCATTCTTTTCAGAACATCTTGAGCTGCACTCTGATCAAAAAAGTTATGTTTTATTTCTCAAAATTAAGTTTTTATTTTGTATCCATATAAAGTTCTGAGGAAATGTTTCTTTTTTTTTTTAAGGGTTATTAAGCTGCACTAAAGTAACCAGAAACAACTTTACTAACAACTTTATCAGGCCTCTTTCCATGGTGGTACTGGGATTCTCAGAATTGATTAACAGACTAAAGGGTTTTATTGTGAGACTTAAAGGAGTACTGATTTCAGGGTTGGAGATTGGCGTGGAATCCATAACATCCCTCGCAAGCAGTTTCTGCCCCAAACATAACTATTGAATAAACAAATGATTTTGGCACACTGCCGGTGAAGATCTCCGGAAAAGTGGGCAATAAAATAAAACAATGATTTTCTTTTGATTCTAAAAAAGAAAGCCCTCTGTTCCTAAAATGAGTACCCATGAATACATATGTACAAATCCTCAATTGGGAATAGTATTCAAAAACATAGCAAAGAAAAGTCAAGTGTGGGTGTAAACACAGTGAGAAAGTTGATAGAGGCAGTGTAAGCTTTTAAGCTTTCATCAGTAAAAAGTAATTTGCATTGAGTTGAAATTTTCAAAACTAAAATGTTTGAAAGTTACTTAAACATTCTACTGTTAAAGGCATGAAATAACATTTAATTATCTTTCAAAATCCCCAAATGAAAAAGAATTCACAGGGGTAATTATTTTCAAGAACTTGATTTAAAACAAAAAAGGACAGTTTTACTTTAAAATATATTTTTCTCAAAAAAGGTCTGCATATTACATCTTCTATTTCTAAAAATTTTGTACAAAGGTTTAGGAATATTATATTTTACATGTAGCAATTGCTTCCCTTTTATTATTTATAACTATTGTTATAAAGCTTCCTTCAACACCTTTTTGTGACTACTTCTCTTGAAAAAAATCACTTCAGTGTTGGGTTTGCAAACAATGGCATGAAAGTGTTTTAAATTTCTATTTGTTAAAAGCACACAAATGTGTATGTAAACATAGCAAAAGGCAAAACCATTGAAATAGTTATTTCTATTGGAACAAAAGTGCTAGGTGACTTTTAAGATATCAGTTTAATTTTCCTCGGTGGTATTCCTAGGTCAGAGCTCATAAACAGAACTCAAAGCTAAGATGTTCCCAAGTGACCTCCTTGTAATGAGTTTTATATTAAGCCATATATTTCCCTTCACCTGGTCACATGCTATACCTCGAGCTGTCTATACAGCTGATGTCCACAGGGGAAGAAAGGAGGCAATTTCAACTCCTTGTTAAATAAATCCCATTTCATGCATCTTTGAGAAATCCAAATGAGCATGAGAAATGAAAGATTTCTGGCCAACACAGTTCCAGTAGTAAAATTAAAGCAAGTCCTAATCCGTCTGCAAACTCACAGGCAAATGTGAAAAGCAAAGAAGGGCTTTGTGTAGGAATTGTCATACAATTCTCGCTTGCATTCTAGCTCCAGTGCCCTGGCTGTGAGTTTCCTTGCACTGGGGACCTGAACACACCCGCAGACGCTGGCTGGTGAGTTTTCATCTCTGTGTTATTCACTCATGTGATGCAAAGAAGCACAGAGAGAATTACTGCACTGGTGCTTTCTTCTCTGCCCTTAAGAAGAGAAATTACAAGGATGGACACTGTTTGTGAAAAAGAGTGGTGAAGTTTCAAAGTTAGCAGCCACTGGAGAGAAACACGCCTAGCTAACCTATGAGTAAACTCTCCACTAGAGCATCTTAGGTCTCACAGGTGCATTAAATGCACTAAGAATAGTCCAAGGATTTCTTGGCAGTTGGGGTTTCAAGATGTTTCAGCAGAGCCCTACTGTTTCTGGGAAATGCAACAGTTACATCTGGGGCTGCAGGAGCCCAGAGTTATGTAAGGCACTGCAGCGTGAAGGAGACCAGCACACTGGAACCAGGAAGGGCAGCCCTGCTCACCAACAAAGGGGAAAGGGACCGAGGTGGCCGCGCAGGCAGTGTCTGTGCCCTTTCAAAAGGGGAGGGGGAAGAAGAAAGAGAGGGAAGGCAAAGTACCGTCTTGTCCAGGCACTGAAGGCAGATATAAGGCTTGCAGCAGCAGTGGCCCATCCCCGCAGGCTGGCTGGCTCCGGGACCTCCTTCATTCAACGTGTCAGCGGTAATTCCTAAGACGAGGTAATGGCTCAAACGAAAGGGGCGCGCCGCTGGGAGCTGTCACAACTTCCATGTGGTCCCCATCGGCTACCTTATTTCTCCTAATAACTTCAAGAATCCAAGAGCCAGAGAAACCAGAGGAGGAGGGGCGCCCAGCGGCAGCGTTTAGATCCTGCTGCGGGAGAGGGAGGGGACAGGCTGCGGGAGGGTGACTCGGCCACCGGAATCCTCAGAATGAGGCAAATCAATAGTCGCGTAACAATCGAGCATGTACCGATGCCATCTCCCCAAGAGGACAGCCCGCCTGCTCCTGCCGGAGCCTGCCGCTCCCAGCCGTCCCCGCGAGCGGAGGCGCCCCTGCACGATGCAGACACGCCTGGAGAGGACGCCGGGAGCACAAAAGACGAGCCTGGACTTCCCCGGATTCTCCGGGCTGAGGACTGTGGAGAGGGCTGGAGCAGGCTTGGCTCGCTCAAATGCGGGCTTTCTGTGTCCCTGGGAGTAAACATATTTATAAACGTGGTGTGCATGGCCTTTCCTCCCTGCAACTCCTCCTCTCGAGGTATCCGTTGCCTCTGGGACCAATTACTCATTTTCAAATTTGTGTGCCGGGAGCAATTTTTGCCTTATTTGATGAAATCTTTATATTTGAAATATAATTGTGAAATTGCTTGCCTAGGCAGACATTCACAAACCATTCAGGTGGCTTGAGTAAATTAAAATTGGGGTTTGAGGCAGACATTTCTCCCAGGCATATCAGCATAAAAAGCCTTAAAGAACTTGATCTTTCTGGGCAATTTGTAATTTTTCAAATAGTTAAAAAAGGGAAGGCGGTAGGAAGCTAAAGAGGTGTGGCATTTAAAAATATATTTATGCAATCCTGAATGTAAAAGATGGGGATATTTACAAGATTAACTTTGTATTTCCTGACACCTCAAAGGAGAAATCCTGAAATCTTTCACCCACAGAAACATACAATTAGATTTTTGCCCATTCAATTAGCTTAAGCAGCAGACAAGAGTTGTTCAAATTAGATAATTTTACTAACTCGAGATTTTCCAAGCAGATTTTCATTGAGTAGCACAGGCTATTTAGGTTTGCATGTCTAGAGGGCAAGGATATTTGGTGTTCAAATAAGAACAGACTGGAATGTTTGCCCTAAACTTGAAAGAATAAACTCAAATTTTTCTTTTAAGCTAACAGGTAAATTAGCACAGTCGATTGGGTGGGCACTATAGCTGTCCCTCTCAGCATTTTAAATGTACATACACTCTGAGCCGTCATTGCCACTTTGAGCCTACAAGAGTACCGGAACATGCCGGGGGGTATGTATGCCTGAGGATATCCAGTTTAGCATTGTTCGTAGTCGCATAGAAATGAAAACTACCCTAGATGCCCAACACCTTCCCACTGCACGGGAAGGTGATACACTATTAAGTGAGAAACGAAACTTTTATAAAACACAAAGCAAAACTATACTCATGCATACACCTGTCTAGAATAAAGTTTTTGGAAAGATACACACCTTTCATATAGAAGCAGCTCACCCTTAGGGAATGATAAATAGGGGTGAGGGAATAAACTTCCACTTTTTACCCTCTTGCTGGCATTTATTATTATTGTTTTAAAAAGAAGTGCAGGCCGGCCGAGTTGCGTGTTGGTTAAGAGCTGGCTTGGGACGCCAGAGGGCCCCGGTTCGGATTCCACATATGAGGGCCACTGACACTGCCCTCTACAGCTAAGATTCTGAACAACAGCTCAACGTGGAGCTGGGTTGCCGGTGACAGGCGTAGGCTGCAGCCCTTGCTGCAGTGGGTTGCCATGGGCTACCATGTGTAGCCAGCTGCCAGCGTGAGCGGCCAGCAGCCGCAGTGAGCGGCTGTCCAGAAGCTGGCGACTGATCTGCCTCGCCCGGGAAGAGCGCATTGATGGTGCCTATTTGGGCCAGTGAAGCAACGTCCTCCACAACTAGACTGAAGAACAAAAGGACAGCAACTTGTCTGCTCCCCTTCCCCCAATTCCCCAGCATTGTTCCCATCCCCCAATTCCCCAATAAAAATCTTTAAAAATTTTAAAAAATAAAAAGAAGTGCACCAGGAAGAAGGTAGCAACCACTGCCTGGGCTCTGTGATGTCAGGAGGTGCAGAGGCCTCCCTCTCACACAGGCTTACCCTTCTCAGCAATGAGCTTCGAGGGAGAGAAGCTCACAGTACCTTGAACTTGAACCTGAGCTGAGAGCTGTTCCTGGGATTTTTGAATCTTTGGGGGAAAAACTTGATGTTGCAAGAAACGGTGCCCTGTTGCACCCATGTTCACAGGATTAGTCACAATAGACAAAAGGTGGAAGCAACCCAAGTGTCCATCAGTGGAGAACGGACAGACAAAATGTGCTATATGCATACCATGGAAGATTACTCAGCCTCTAAAAAGGAAGGAAATCCTGTCAGCTGCTACAACATGGATGAATCTTGAGGACATTATGCTAATGAAATGGGCCAGTCATACAAAGACAAATACTGTGTGATTCCACTCATATAAGGGACCTAGAGCAGTCAAATCCATAGAGACAGATAATGCGGCGGCTGCCAGGGGCTGGGAGGAGGTGAGAATGGGGAGTTAGTGTTTATTGGGGACAGAGTTACAGTTTTGCAAGATGAGAAGCATTCTAGAGACTGGGTTGCAGAATAATGTGACCATACTGAATGCTACTGAACTGTACATGTAAATGGTTAAAATGGTAAAATTTTTGTCATGTGTATTTTATCACAATTTAAAATATAAAATGTGGTGACTTACATTCACCTGGAGGCAGTCACTATGTCAAGCCCACTATGTCAAGATAAAGCGCAGGTCCTATTGTGCAAGGAGCCAGCGGGAGAGAGGGGGCTCCAAGAAGCTCAACGCCCCTCCCACCCCCACCCCTGCCCCAGTAATGTGAAGAATGCTTCCTTGGAGTCCAGTTGTCTTTCTGCACCTTAGGAAGCTGTTTCTTTCTGAATTAGGATTTAGAGTGCACCTTACTAGCAAAGTACTGCTCGTTCTTGGACAATGTAGGAGAGGGCTTGCTCACACAGATTAGGGTGACACTGGGGAGGCTGCCCAGAGAAGGAAGACATTCAGTTTCTCTTCTTGTCCACAGAGGGTGCTATAGGGTGTGGAACCAGGGTTGGCTCAGTCCATCCTAGATGGCCTTGCTGAAATCGCAGAGGGGAGGCTAAGATCTCAGTGCAAATAGCCCAGACTTTGAGAAATGTACCAGTGTCTTAGAGCTGTGTGGTATTTATTTTCTTAGTATGTTGAAAAAACATTAAACATACTAAAAAATAGAGGGATCAATACAAAGGGCCTTTATATACCCATTTCCAGTTTCAACAGCTATCAAGATTTTCGCACATTTCTTTCATCTGTCCCTTTTAAAACTTTTTTTCATATATCTATCACGCAGGTCCAACAATTATCAAGATTTTGTCTCTGCGTGGCCAGTTGGCTCAGTTGGTTAGAGTGCAGTGCTCATAACACCAGGGTTACCAGTTCGAGTCCCACATGAGCCAGTGAGCTGTGCCCTCCACAACTAGATTGAAGACAACAACTTGACTTGGAGCTGATGGGTCCTGGAAAAACACACTGTTCCCCAATAAGATTTATTAAAAATAAATAAATAAAAGATTTCGTCTCTTTATTTTCGCTTGTGCCTTTTCTTTTTTAATTTATTAAAGTATTTAAAAGCAAAGCCCTACATACTTTAGTATGCACTGCTGAAAATTATGAACATTTTTACATAACCACAATGTCATTAAAACATCCAACAAAATTGACATTTCATTGGCATCTAATACCTAGTCCAAAACAAAATTTTCCTGGTTTCTGAAAGGAAATTATTTTACGTTGGTTTTCTTGAATTAGGACTCAAACTAGGTCATATATAACATTTGGTGTTGAGTCTCTTAGCTTCTGTAATCAACAAGGGTACCCACTCCTCCCCTCCCTGTTCCCCCATGTCACTGACTTGTTCAGGAACTGGGTTGCTGGCTTGCAGAATGTCCCATATCCTGGAGATGCCTCTTTGTTTCCTTGTAATGTTCTCTTACTTTTCTCTACATCCCTGTAAGTGACATTTAGTTCTTGAGGCTGGATGAGATTCAGGCCCAATTTGTTTGGGCAGCAACACCTCAGATGTGACGTTGTGGCATCATATTGCCTCCCATCAGGAAGCACACAACGTCTGGGGGTTCCATTTTTAATGAAGCTATCCTGGGTCAGATGTGACAGCCTCCACTCCTCCATCGTAAAGTCCCCATCAACCTTTCATCTAGTGATTTTATTTGTGAATGATTATTACCTGAATCAATTATTTCATTTGGGAGTTAAAACATGATCTGATTCTATCATCCTTTTGCATTTATTAGCTGGAATTTTTATATGAGAAAAGAATTTTTCGTCAACTAGGGTGATGTCAATACAGTTTATACAGGAAAGGCAGACTAAATGGTTAGTTCTTTCCTTGTAAGTACCTATTCTCTGAATGAAATTTGGTGTTGCCATGGTACCTGATGAGGTTTGCTTTCTCTCACTCTTCCAAAACACCATTATGAACTCATGTTTTTATGTTAATGCACAATGTATTCCAATCAGTTGCCTTTATTATTCTTATCTCATCTTTGGCCAATGGGAGCACCTTCTTGGTCCCTGTGTCTGCTGTTTGACACAACTCATGAGTCTACCCTCCTTGCTTTCTGACACAACACAGTACCCTAGGCTCATCTTGCGTGTTTCTGCTACAGACATGGAAGCAGCCATTCCCTCCAGCAGCCCTGGTTCCTTCTAGTTGGGAATGGAAATTAGATACCCCAATCCGAGGCTGTTGGCTGTCTTTTGAGAGCCCCCTGGTAGGAGTGAGAGGACCCTTGAAGGAAGTGATCCTTCCCACAGGCTAAAATCCTTAGAAGAGGCCATTGAAGAACTCAGGGTGGGGCCTTAGGATGGGGTGAAAAAGCAACAGCTCCTTCTCATGGGGTCTTTAGGAATGGAAAATGCTCAACGAAATTCACTTTGAGGGAGATAAACTGGATTCTTTCACATGGTGGCAAGCCAAGGCTTAGGTGGGGAGGCACCTTCTGACATAAACATTTTCTAAGCAGTCCCCAAAGTGCTTGGATATCTGAAAAAAGATTGAACTCCTTGAAGGCACATAGCTGAGGGTTTAGACTATTGGGATTTGGCACAAAAGGAAGCTGTGACCTCACAGGCTGATGAAATCTGGGACCTTTTATTTTTAAAAGTTGGAGATGGTTTTTATTCCAGGTTTATTTTCTTGCATTGGA